AGTCTGTTCACCATAGTAGTTGGTGAATCTCAGAATCCCATCAAAATATAAATGTTAATGAACATATCTATGGTGCTTTTGTTAATTTTTTATTTTAGTTTTACCCAATTTTGTTAAAGTTAAATCAGATGATAAAGTTAAAGGAGGGTAACTGTAAGCAAATCATTTGATGGATTGTCCCATAAGTTTTTTCATTAGATTTGAGGGGAGAACAATATAGGGGAGAAAAGAAAAGTGAAGAACTCGGAATAAAAATTCTGTCTAATTCTAAGGTGTCTGTTGACCAAGTTATCTATTAGTTTTTTATTTTTTGGTAAAAATAAGAATAATATAGAAAGAAGCACCAAAGGGGTGCAACCTGTATGCAAAAAAGAGAATGACGAAGTTGTCTATTAGTGAGTGAACAACAATAGTGGACAAAAACAGAAAGTTTTATCTACATCTATTTCCTCTCCTCCTTTCTCTTCTGGCAATATTGGGTGAAGTATAAAAATGGTGTTGCATGAATCTAAACTTTATCTTTCATCATTATCATACTATGTGCTGGTAGCGTCAATGGTTCTGTTCTTGTTTCTAAAATTCCAGTCACTGCCATTGCATCCTGGGTTTCTAAACCTTACCTATGGGTTTTAGAAAATGAAGTGTTGATGAATGAAACTGTACCATGGCAAAATGAATAGCACTTCATTCATCCATTAGCACATTTGTTGAACAATTTGGCTTAGAAGATTAAAATTGCCAAACGAAAATTTCGTAGAAATTGAAGAGTTACTTACTGTCGGAATTTGGTTTAATTTGAGAGAAAAATTTAGTAATAGTTCACTTACACAATTTTAGAGGGAATTGTTGCCATTACTTACTCTTGAACCAATATCACTTTAATGTTTCAGATGTTGACACCAGAAAAATATTTGAATTGTGGAGGTTGACACCATTAATTCTTCAATTTTTCTTCATAATAAATTGGTGGCAAAACTCTTTTATCATGATGATAACACGTGAAAGCTCTTTCTTATTATTTTCAAAAATATATTTTTCTTTTGCCAAACAAAAGTCAAGAATAATCCATCCGAACACAATGTATATCTACTCTCAACAAATCATAAAATATAAACGAATGAACAAGAAAAAACTTTATTCAATTGAAGGATATCATTTGAAGAAATTAAATCACAGTAAACCTAGCACTTAATTTAGCCTAACATACTCATATTGAAAACCAAAGCAACCTCTTGTAATGATTTAAAATGTTGAGGCAATTCTTTATTGAAGTGCAAGCACAGTTAGGATTATCCTATCATGCATTACAAATACTGGTTTAGTGAAACCTTAGTAGCCTTATCTGCCAATCTAGGTAGGCGAACTATGCTCTAAAATGCGAATTCACGAATTTATTAATAAATCCGATCAAATTCGCAGTTTAACATGGTCACACAATCAAACAATCAAACCAATGCAAGAGGTGCTAGAGGGTAATGATTAGTAATGGCTAGTGCCTATGTGGTACACACAATCTTTAGTTAGAGACTGCTCACACTTGGGATTGTTCAAGTTTTCATGTTCCTTTAATAGAACCCAGGGTAAATTACACTGACCACCTTGACGTTTAGAAAAAATATAGTAGACCACATAATTTGGGCATAATCACACTGTTCTTCCTTTTATAGTAAGGCTAAAATGCCTAAAACTAATGCAGATAATGGGTAGACAGGGATAAACAAAGGTAAAATATACATTTCAGTGTAAAAATGATGACAATATCATTTTTCCATCCATACGACTAACAAATTATTGAGAAAAGGGGCACTAAATGTCATGTGGAGTACAACTGTAAGGGAACCTAGTGCCAGTGTAAATATGCCAGACTTGTGGGGTTTAATGTATTTTCTTCAAATCTCAAGGGAGGTTGGTGTAATTTTCCCTAGAACCAAAGAGCCCCAAGTTTTGGTGTGCTTGTGGTATGGAACTGAAGCAAGTTGGTGTGCTGCTTTTATAAAAAGATATGGAAACCTCACACTCAGGTTGCATGGATTTGGAACTCTGAAGGTATTTACATGTATGCATGCCCTGGAGGTACCCCACTCTGATGGTTTTTTTTACAATGGACGCTTTTGCTCTGCAAATCAGTTATGTTAGAATTTCCCATCTTTACCTTCACCTACTCCACTACACACTCCACTTCACCACACACTCCACTTCACCTAACCCACTATCACCTCCACTACACCTACTACCACATTTTCTTCTATATATAGATTGTATAGGAATTGTAATTAATCAATCTTGTAATACATCAATCATAAAGATATCAATCAATAATACTTGAATTTTAACAAGTTACTTTGAGAGAAACCCAGAATTTTCAGTGGTTTTCAGCTAGGCTGCTGCAATTTGTAAAATACAATGGAAAATAATGTCAACTTCATTGTTTTTCTTTTATTCACTTTGTTGTGTTTTTTCTTACCTCATGAATAGGGTCTAACAGTCACCAATATATCAGCTACAACTTTTCCACAAACACTGGATTGGCTGCATAGTTATATTCTTCAGGTATGTTCGTCTTCCAACCCTTCTTTTGAATAGCTGCATTACGTGAATTGGTCAAGTTGTATATATTCTTTTCTAACCTGGAAGAAGTTGATACCAGTAGTGGCCCCACTAGCTGAGTCATAAAACTAGGCTAGTACTTTGTGTTCATTAGCAATAAGTACAAATCCACTTTTGGTAGGAAATGAAGTCCGTTAATAAATTTAGTCATTTTCTTATGCTCTTTCGGATAATCATCTTCTACGCTAGCATAAATTATATTAAATAATCAATTGTTTTACTGCTGTGGAAAAAGATCCAGAAATCTTTTATAAAGTGTTATTTTACCTGGAGTTTCTCTAGCATATTATGAAATTGAAATGTTCCATCTAGTAAACATTTGGAACTGTTTGGTTTTTTTTATTATTTTGTTTATTAGTAGAAGAAACTGCTCTGAATCGTCCTAGAAGGTAAACTGTCAAAATCATTTCATTTTCATTACTCCAATAATTACATTTGGGAACCACCTGATGTTTCTCTGGTAATTGTACTCTAAGCTTGTTTGAAATGATCTAATACATTATCAGTGATTAGTTTTTCTCCTTTGTCTAAGCTAATTAGACTGTAAATCCTATTTTATTTTTCTGGTCAGTAGCCTGTACGATGGTTCTAAAACCTGCGTTTGATATTGTTTCTCTATCAGTGTATTGAGAAAGGCATATCATCGGTTTCTGATGGAAGTGGTACACCGCCAGCTGAGAGTTAACTTACATGCTAATTAACAGGTTTGATGAAGACTCCAAATACCTTCTATCTTGTGCCTGTTTGAAAATTTATATATATTTTTTAAATGTTATCTATGCTAAAACTTGCTTGATGAACTAACATAGAATAGAACCACTTAAAAACATTTATCAGTGGATACAGATGATCCTATTTGAAAAGTGAGAATATACTTACCAAGGTCCTAAGATTGTACCAATGATAAAAGAAATTTCTCTAATGTTTCGAATAGCCTCCCTAAGCTGCTATAGGCCCTGTTTGGTGCAGCTTATGGAGCCTACTTATAACCCATTTTAATTTTGAAAATCTCTGCTAGAGTAGTTGGTATAGTTTCTACTTACAACTTATGAGGCATAAATAGCTTAAATTAGCTGAGAAAAGTTGATTATCGACGAGAAGTAAGGAAAGCGATGCTTTTAGCTTTTTATTTATAATTATCAACTTTCAGCTTACAAGAAGTTACACCAAACAGACCCGTAATGCTATTTGCAATCTTACCCATTCTTTATCCAACCTTGTCCATTTTGTCAATAACCAATTGCTCGTTGATTGTTGCCCTCTTGGTTTTGTAACTTCTTTTTGTATATTTTCCTCGTGTTGTTGATAGATCCTTGTTGCTTATCTGGACCGGATGAGGAAATGAAGTTGCAGAGATGTGCTATAAACAACTAAGATACTGGACGCTCTGTTGTGTAAAATCCAGAAATCAAACCTAAAAAGTTCTGCACAAGGACACAGGCTGGAGGATGTTGAAAGATTTAGGGCTTCAGCAAACTGGTGGTCTTTAAAATGTACTACCATCGCGAAATGTTTGTTGGCCCCGACTCCGTCTCCCAAGCCCTCTACTGTAATAAGACTTGTAATGCTACAAAATGGTTAGCCTGGCTTAATTTGAAATGCTGAATATGGGACCTTCATAGAAATTGAAAGGTCCTCATGAAATGGTTGGGTATATTATTATATAATTGATAATTATTAATTTTTTAGATTGGGTGATATTTATTTATTTGTAAAGGGCTTTCTATTGTAAGGGTAAGGGATGTATGGCTTAATACAGAAGATTATGGATGTTGATAGCATCTTTCCTTGATTATCTCCCTATAGTTTACAACATTGCTTAACAAAAAAAAAGTGAGAGAGGGTGATCAGTGCACAAGAACCCTCCTTAGGCATTGGTTGTAGGAGCCCCTACCTGCTAAAGAGTCTGATAAGACGGGCCTAGACAGATCTTCAAACACGGCAAGCACTCTCTCAACAAAGATTGAGCCATAGTCTTACCCTAGCCCATTGAGAGGCATGGTGGTAACGAGTTCGTAGCCCATGATTAATGAGCATAAGTTTTGCATCCCCTAATGACTGCTAATGAGATTTGAACCCATGACTTGTTGGCTACCAAAGTACATAGGATTAAGTCCCATACCTTCTAATCCTAAGGTTTGATGCTTCCAAAAATGTGAATTGGGTCATTTTAGAAATGGTTGGTTCACTAATTTTAGATAATTGGATGTCTTTGGGATATAAAGTTGATGTGGACCACATATATAATGAACATATTTCATTTATTTACTTTTATTAATTTTTCTAGATGTATAATATTGTTGGATAGAAATTTAATATTTTCAATTCATTTATCATGCATGCACTAATTGCATGGTTGTTATAACTTACACCATGGTATGTGCACTCCCCTTGCACCCTTACAAACATATGTAACATATAATCAATTTTAAATCATGCCATTAATTGGAATATTAAAGCTTGGTATTACAATAATAGATTCATGATCAAATCTCATCATCCCATAGATCTTGTATGGTCTTATAAGGACTTGTTGTTTGATTAACAAGGAACTCCCCTCTCATAATTTTCCTCTCCTCCATCATTTCAATATTGAGTAAATCGTGATCGTCCAATCTCAGATCAAGGGCTCCCATGTTCTCCTTCATCCTTTCTTTGTTGAAGCTCTTCACAATTACACTTGCACCCTTTGATAAACCCCACCCTAGGGCAACCTACATAAGAGATTTTAAAGAAGACAATCTTATAATTTCTTGTTAAGGAGACAGATTTTTTTTAAAAGATAATCTTATGTTGCTTGAAAGGAGGAAACAATAGCTTAATTATGGCTTAGATTGATTATTGCACATGCAAGTCCAAGCCAAGGCAAAAATATGTTGATTTGCAAATTATTTTATTTCTTTTTAAAAAAATAAAAACAAAATTGTGGGATATAGAAAAGCTCTTTCTGAAAAACAATGTAAATTTTTTTCATATTTCATGACCAATAGAAGAAGATAATTTTTTTTTGTTTTTTCGTTTTTTGAATTCGAACTCACATATTATGATGAATAAGAAAGTTTCTCATCCAACATAAATGAAAGATTTTTAAAATTTTTTATAATCAATAAAAAGAGAATAAAAAAATTACATAGTGCAATAATAAATTTGAATATAAATTAAAAATTGCCTTAATGAATGCAGATTTAAATAGGAAAATGTGGTGAGATTTTGACTTATTTCACCTGAGCTGGGGTTGCCTTGTGCCTGAGGGCAATGGATTGGATGATTGGATCATCAACCACAGCCGTTGATCCCCATGCATTCCCTGGTCCACCAAGTGGTGAATATGAACTTATGTGGATGTTGTGGTCCCCACAGAACTCTCTAAGCTTTGTTTGCCTCCACCTTGGATGCATTTCCACCTATGCATTATAACAAGAAGAAGATGATGATGATGATGATGATGATGATGATGAAGAATTAATGGTGGTGATGTTTGAAAATAAAGTCTCAATTAGCTAATGTTTGGTTCATTACAACGAAATGAAATTGAATAATTATTTTAGTAAAATATTCAATCTTATACTTGATTGATTAAAATAATAATAATAATAATATATTTTAAATTAAAAATATAGTTCACCATTATAAAGGAATAATCATTTTATATAAGATAAGAGAGTTTAAAAAATGACTATTTTATTTAATTCTAGTAAATCAAATAGAATATTAGAGTTTTTAATCATTGAGCTCTTAAACCTTATTTGATTTTATAATAGACCAAGAGATATAAAATAATCACTTACATGGAGGCTACTTCACAACTAAAATCACACAAAAATTACAAGTTTGACTCATAATTTTCTATTATACATCTCATTTAGAATTCATAATTTATGCTTATAAGACTCATGGTTAGGTTTTTATCAAAAATGACTTCTCAAGAAGTTGAAAAAGAAATAGATCATTTTTTTTTTTTGGGGGGGGGAAAAAGAAATAGACCATTTTTTTATTTTTTTATCTATTTTTGGGGGGAGGGGGGGAACAATTTCTCCCCTTTTTCTCTCTCTCTAAATAAATCATTGGTTGTAATGGTACAATATATATATATATACACTCAAATAAAATTTGTTTGAATAAATAAGAGGAAAAAGAAGAAAAAAATAATTTCTCTTCTATCTAGTTTGGTTAAACTATATATATTAAAAATTATAAAAAACAAATTCATGTAATATCACCAAAAAAAAATAAGTATATATAAGTATTAATTTTTATTTATTTATTTTTTAAAATTTCTTCTATATCTAATGGTGCAATTTTGGTATTATGAAAAAGCATCTAGCTCCTCTCTAGTCTGATTGTGGACTGTGTGGTCTCAAATCTAAACCCATATTAATGATTCAAACCGTTTAATGTGTAAAATTCATTGGTTACATAATTCTTTCAAAAAATTGAGTTGATTAGATATCGATAGACATTTAATCGAATCACATTTCAGCAACGGCAAACATGATTTCCAAAATAAATTGTTGATAAAAATGTGATAAGATCAAGTGATTATTTATATATGATTAAATTGATTTTTGGTAGAAATAATGTACACGACGAGCCCTACACATAAAATGGTTTGGAATATTGAGATGGACCCTGATTTGGGCCCACCACTACCCAACAAAACCTTCCAATCCAATTGCGAACTGAAATGGAGTCAGACCCTACGAAAAAATAATAATCAGATTTATTTTTATTTTTTTCCCCTTCGGATGTTTTCTATTTTAGTGAGATTCAAAATGAGAATTTCAAGAGAAATTGGTTTCTCTCAATTTCTTTCAAGTTCGCACGATTTCTCTTCCCTTTACTAATCCAAACACGATGAATATAAACCAAGACCAAAAAAAAAAAAAAAATCATTTCTGCTCTTTTCTTTCAATCCAAATGATAGAATCCGCTCCATCTACTCACATTGCTCTACATACAAAAAAATAATAATAATGGTGGTCATACACATATGCTACCAAAGAGTGAGCTCTGTTCACCCACTTTACTCTACTTATTTTTTTTTACAATCAATTCTAATTAGTTGTGTATCCGTAGAATTATTTGAAAAAGGGAAAAAGAGCATTACTTGATTGACAGCAGGAGGAATAGAAGCAAAATCTAAGAGACGTTGGATCTTGTTGGTGGAGAAATTGCTGACACCTATACTCCTACACAATCCCATGTCCAAGCATCTCTCCATGCCACCCCAAGTGGTCTCCAGGTCCAGTACTGGTTCGAACTCAGCTTCGTCTGGGACTGCATTTGTAGCCCATGGCTTCAACTTCACTGGCCAGTGCACCAGGTACATGTCCACATGTTCCATCCCCAACCTCCTACAATATAACACACCCAATCAATATATATATATATCAATAATATTATAAACCCAGACTTAATTATTCAGAAATTATCCAGAATTATCATTTTATAGTTCAGATTTATTTTATACATGAATCTTATATTACACAAATTTAATCTTCACCACATAACCACTCACCCAGAAAATTCTAGATAGATAAATCTGGAGTTCCAAACTTTTCATATATATATATATATATTATTACAACTCTATCTCTCTATGTCCATACTATTATATAAAGTCAACTCTTTAATTGGCCTGTCTGTGAATGTCATTTTTTTTCCCCTCAAAATATAACTACTGCCATCAAACTGTTTCAAATAACTGTTATTATGAGATTCAGTTGTTTCACATCCAATAGTTCTAAACAAAATGGTTAGATAGGAGTTGTCAATAATGCGCATATTTGTTTTTGGGGATCCACAGCCACAAACAGTATTCTAATAATACGTACTATTTCAGGACGGTCATCTACGTACGGTCATCTACGTACGGGTGTATACTCTAGTCTAGTTGCCATACATACATATACATATATATATATATGTCCACTTCTTGTTTTTTTGTTAATATAAGAGGTGGGTAATGATCAATCTCAAGAAATACATATAAGAAAATCATGCATGAAAGCTGGAAGCATATTCACATCAAGCACAATTATAATCACTCAAATATTTGGTCACCGAAATTACCAATCCCTAATAAGGAATCTGTGATTTCGGTGCATTTTTTTTAACGTTCGTTTTTTCCATCCTCATCACATGTAATGCAAGTAGTCGGTTGTTTGACCTATCATGCTTTTTAATCCATTTATGCATGAATATTGAGTGCAACGGTGACATTATTAGGCTAATAAAAAAATTGTTAATAAAATTACACAAATTGTAGTGTAGCCTCCATTAATTTCTATGAAATTTCTTATTGCATATATGCTTACTTTAAAGTTCGAGTGAGCCCTGAGACAGGATCATGGTGATCACTTCCCCACAGTTTGGAAGTGAGAAAAATGTCTTCTCTCTCAACCGTCTGATTAAGGATTGATTCTGTTAATGCCTCTCCCACAGCTGCTTCTGAACCATATATTTTTGCTGTGTCAAAATGCCTGTACCCCATCTGTTGTACATAATACGTATACAACAAAAACAACACTACTTAAAACCATTTTCATGCAAATATATACATAACTTATCATAGAAATTTAAAAGTAAAGCCATGCATGCTTTTTACAAAAATGTTACCTACATAGAAAAATATTCAAAATATTTAATGTGTCATCCAAATACATTTAAGATGTGGGCTTCATTATATAAAAATTATGCAATCATAGAAGTCATCAAGTATCAAATCTCTATGTTCACTTGTCTCAAAACACTTGTAATTATTGATTTGAATCATATGAAAATCACGAGAGGCGAAAATCACAAAGTATAATTCAAATCACTATAATAAGTGTTTTGGAATAGAACAACAGAAGAATTTGATAAGATAAAATCTCATGCATACCTTAAGAGCTGTTTGGACTGCATGTTTGGTTTCTTCTCTATCATTTTGAGAAGAATAAGTGCCCAAAGCCATGATGGGTATGGTTGAGCCACAGTTCAATGTCACCTGATTGTACTTCATTCTCTCTCTAGATGTCTTTCTCTCTCTCTCTAGATCTCTGTCTCCTCAACAATGCAATATAACTAACTTGGTGACTCCACATATATATACACACAAAAGTCAACAAGTACCTTCAAACTGTTTTTTTGAAGATATTGCACCGCCTATAATAGTATATTGGAGTTAATTGGGGGGCGGGGGTGTTAAATTTGATATGTTGATCATATCAATTAATTGCGATCTTCCATGTCTCCGGGGATTTTAACAATCCTTCGTTTTAAAGAAAGAATCTAAAAGTACTTGTTTATTTTACTATACACACAAGGTTATTTGTGATTAGATTCTCTGTCTCCATATGTTGGCTATTTTGACACTTTGAAAAATAAAAATGTAATTGTCACCTGCTAGTAAAGATTTGAAAAGTTGTTACAGAATTTATAATTCAATTTACTTATTAGGTGATTGTGATTAGGTTCTTTCAGTCTCAATAAAGAAGATTTTACTGATTGTGTTTTAGTAAGAACCAATGCAATAAAACTTGAATTTGAAACAAAATGGGGGAGAGAGACTGGACATAAAATATAATTGATTAACTGAATAATGCAATTACAAAATGTTATTTTTATTAAAGGCAATTTCAAAGATTGAATTCTGAAAATACAAGAGCTACTTTAATCTACTTCTATGAAAAGTAAGTGCAGTACTGAAATTTAAAGATAAATGAAATCACAAAGATATAAAGTCTAGATTTGTTCGAGGAGGCTCTTTCATCTTTACATTCATCTATTTATAATCTTCTCTTGGCCTTTGAATCAGTTGAGCTACTTTTTCTCACCATGATCTCTTTTCTTGTAGCTACTTCTTAGGGCCACTTCTTCTCTTTATGCGTGTATCATTGCTAATAACTGCTATCTTGATAACTTCTTTCCACTATAAGAAAAAATACATTTGGCGACTAGATTTTTAGTCTCCAAAAGTCGATTTTTAAGTTTCCCCGACTAAATTTTTTAGTCGCCGATTTGGTCGCTGGAAAACGGCCGGGAAAGGTATTGGCGACTAAAAACTTTTAGTCACCTAAAAGCAAGTCTTTAGCGACTAAAACTTTGATTGCCAATAGTCAATTATATTTTTTAAATTATACATTTGGCGACTAAATTTTTAGTAAAAACAAATAAAGATTACACTTTTTTTTGTGTGATGTATGTTATTTAATCACACCTTTTAAGTTTTATTAAAGTGTGATCTTTGGGAGTGTGATTAAAAGGGGTCATTTTTAATCACACCTTTTAAGTGTGATTAAAAATATTTAGATCACACCTTTTAAGTGTGATTAATAACATTTAGATGTGAAAAAAAATATTTATTACACCCACTAGCTTCTCATTTGCTCTTGTAAATATTCGAACCATCAACCCTCTTACACCATAAACGTTATACAACATACTCTTTCCACTACACCTCTATAACGCCATATGATTATATATGCAACATATATTATTTATATAGTACTTAGACCCGTATTAATAAAAAAGTATATATATTAATATAATTATTTTTTATTGAACATAATTTATGTAAAAATAAATTATTTAGTAGAAAAAAAAGGACACCACTTTTGGCGACTAAATATAATTTTAGTCGCCAATTCCATACTTTTGGCTACTAATTATTTTTTAGTCGTTACAAAAAAAATACCCGTGCTAAAATTACCACTTTTGGCGACTAAACTTCTTTTTAGTCGCCAAAAAGCCTCACTTTCAGCTACTAAACATGTTTTTAGTCACCGAATGCTTCACTTTTGGCTACTAATTTTTTTAGTCGCCAAAGGGCCTTATTTTTTGCTACTAAAATTTTTTTAGTCGGTAAAAGCCTCGCTTTTGGCAACCAAACAGATTTTTAGTTGCCGAATGCCTCACTTTTGACTACTAAATTTTTTTTAGTCGCCAAAAGGCCTTACTTTTGGCTACTAAAATTTTTTTAGTCGCTAAAAGCCATATATCGGCGACCAAATAGATTTTTAGTCGCCAAAACCTATACTTTTGGCTATTAAATTTTTTAGTCGCCAAAAATCTTTACTTTTGGCTACTAATGCATTTTTAGTCGCCAAATACTATACTTTCAGCGACGAAATATGATTTTTTAGTCGCCAATAGTACTTTTTCTTGTAGTGTTCCCTTGTGCTCTTCACGTGTTGAATAACTACCTGTTAGCTACTAGAACTCACATCCACTGCTCACGAGCGTAGCATTCGAATGTGAGATTCTTCAATGACTCGTGTATCTGTATAATTATCTTTGCTTGCCACGTGTCACCTTCGAATTGAATGGTTTAATTATAGTGCCAACAGTCGATTACATATTGTCATATTATTAAAATTAATGACTAAAAGAATATGAGCCAAACATGGATATAGAAAGTGAGATAGATGATCTCACATTGACCCTGACACAGATCATCTGTCTCATATCTATTACATATTGTCATTGGTTTAGCATAACCTACAAAAGTCAAAAAGTTACTAAAAAAGTCAAAAAAATCCATACTTGGGGGAAGCCTTATTTTGCCCTTTAAATTCAACTACCCAAAAGTCGAAAAATTAAAAGTCAAAAAGTCAATAAGGGTAGAATGATCATTTTAATTTTATTACACATCTTTTCGTAAAAAGTCAAAAAATTATTTCAAATATACATTTTTTTTCTTTGCTTTTTTAGCCAAAAAATCAAAAAGTGCACTTGTATAGCACATCTCAAACAACAGTCGCAAAATTTTCAAAGGTGGTTCTTTATTTTACTTTTTAATTTTTACTTAAAATTTATTAGTGTTATTTTTTTATTATATAAAATTACTAATTAAATGTTTACATGCCATTTTCAATGGTTATTATGGCTAATCTATTTAATATTTCTTGTAGTATAATCGATCCCAAATATGATTTTATTAATTTTAATTTTGAAAAACTTCATTTTTACAAAAGTCACTGTTACATGTATTGTCAATAATATTCGATAAATTTTTTTATACTAATTTACTATGTCAATTAAACTTTTATTTTGCAAAACTTCTTTTAAAAATTTATTTATGGAAACAAATATAACTCGTCAATATTAAATAATTAAAAAAAATTGTTTAATATGAGATTCGAAATTAAGACAATTTTTTTTTAAAATTTTCATCTAATGATTTTAATTTTTTGAAGTTATATAGAAAATCAAAATGTATCTCTCATATTTATGTTATTGATCATAATCCTGCTCTCACACTACAACATATAAAAGGTTTAGAAACCAAATATTTTGGTCTCTAAAAGTGAAAATTTTGTTGCAAAAGATATTTAGAGACCAGTTTTCATCGCCATGAGGATAGTCGCTAAAAGGTCGTTTCGAAAAGTCAAAAATCAGGCTTTTAGCGACAAAATTTTGAAAATGCCACTAATAAATAGACTTTTAGGTACAAAATAATTTGGTCCTAGAAAGATAATAATTCATCACTAATGCCCAATTTTTGTTACTAAAAATATAATAACGACACTTTTCACAACAAAATTATTTGGTCTCTAAAAAATAATTTTGTCCCTATATTTTGGTCTCTAAAACCAAAATTTTTTGTAGTGCCACTAGAATTTAAGATTTAATTATTTTTATTTATTAATGAAGCGCCATCAGCCTGAGTCAAGCAACCCGACAGAACGAAATATAAATCACCCACTAAAGCAAACGGTAAATAAGACAAGTGATCAAACTGGTAAGTAACGGATACAGGATGGATTTTCCCAAGGTGTGTGAACTTCCTTATATTTTCAGCCACATGTTACAAGTAGGTGTAAAAAATTTTTTTGGCCTCGGTCATTCTTCTATGAAATATCGATTCTATCAATCATTCTATTTCACAATCGAGTCACCCTAAATAAGTAAGGTCCCATGATTCCCTAAACCAACTCCTGGCCCTACTCGACAGAACCAGTCGGGGGTATTCAGCATGGGCAGCGAGAGCATCTAAAGGGTTGCTTCACCTAAAATTTTGATTTATATGTATACACAATATAGCAAAAATACAAAAACAAAAACAAAAACAAGAAATCTCATCCTCTAGTTGGGCCCTAGCCAAACACTTTAGTTGTCTAGGGCTTCAACTGCCATCATTAAAATTAATGGCTAAAAAAATATGGGATAGACAATGATATAAAAATTGGGACAAATGATCTTACACATGTGGTGACACATATCATTTATCCCACTATTTGTCTTATTTCTATCTCATACATATTGCTATATTATTAAAATTAATGGCTAAAAGAATATGGAACAAATAGTGATACAAAAGTAAAACATATGATCTCAAAGCGTCGACACATATCATCCATCTCGTTTTCTGTCTCATCTTTTATTTTATATCTATTTCAATTTCATATTGCCATACTATTCAAATTAATACTCAAAAGAATATGGAACAAAAAATCATATAGAAAATGAGATAGATGATCTCACGCTACTCATTGTCTCATCTTGTGAGCATACCACTTTAAAAAAATAATAATAATAAATAAAAATAAAAAATAAAATAAAATAATAAGAAGAAGAAGATAAATTACAAATACACTCATTGAGGTTTACTTAAAACACGGATTGTCTCATGTGGTTCTAAAAATTACATACTACCCATTCAAGTTTCTAATTACTTAACAAATGACCACTTTCATTAATAAATTATCAAGTCAATTAACAGTTTTTAATAATGTCAAAAATATATTTCAATTAATAATCAGGTAATTTTACTGCTGCATAAGAGAGTATTTACAAATTTTATTTTTTCTATTAATTGTATTAAATAAAAAATTATAATAAAGAGGCATTTATGGTTTTCAGAATTACAAGGCCAATCTGTATTTTAAATAAATTTCAGAAAATATATTTTTAATTTATTTTAAAAAAAATAAAAAATCATTAAAATACCATTGGAATTATAAAAATGGCCAATCACATTTCTATGTATTTATTTATTCATTGTGATAGTTATTTGGCAACTAAGAAAAATTAAACAAGTCAGATAGTTTGTGACTCAGTGGTTGCTTGGTATAGGGATATGCCCTATAGAACAAGCCCAAGTGTCCTCATTTAAAGAGGTTTGGGGGGAATTCAGGCCTTGCACTTTGTGGGGGAGGTTCTCTTTTTATATTTTACGAAATAAAGAGTCAAATAGTTGACATCTCATTGCTATAAATAATTATTTATCGGTCTTAATTTTTTAAAAGTCAAGCAGTTTTCCTATCTTAAAAAAAAAAGTCAAATAGTTTTATTTTTTAAAATATTATTTTGGCCAGCAATAGTTGTTTGTTACAACAGTAAGTAGGAACTCTCTCTCTCTCTCTGTTGACGAACCAAAAATGCAACAATTTTTATCATATATGAAAATTGGTTGATGAAGATTTCAGCTAAAGCTTTTACTAATGTGTTATAAATGAATATATAAGCCCAGTTGACTTTGCTCAAGGATTTAAAAAGAAAAAAAAAACTAAAAAAAATTTAGGTTAATGTACCAAATTCAAGGGATAGGAAACAATCACACTATTATGTACCCCCAATTTATAATCAAAATTTTATCCCGAATTATGAATATGTAGTTTAAATTCAATTTTATATGGACTCACAATATATCATTTAAATCTCAACCCTCCATTTATTTTTTGAGTCGATTTCGTGATAGACAATTCTAAGTACTTAGTCAAGACTTTCCCCTCATTTATTTAGGCTATGTTTGTTTATTTTTATTTTTATTTTTTTTAATCTGAAAAAAAAAAAGAAAAAAAAAGATGCTCTAAGATGTCATCACGGCATATGTGGGCTCAGGCTCTGGGATAACCAGTTGCCAGCCTGATTTAAGGCCCTAGGGTAACCGATTGCCAACCTAATTTAACTCAACCCATAGGAAGAAACCCACCACCGAGGCACTAGTGGAGCTCAACCATATGCCGCAAACGAGCTCAGGATTCGATCGGAGTACAGAGTGATATCTCAGCAGAGAGCCACTAGAATTACTCAACATT